ATTAGTGACAAGGGTTTTATTAACGATTTAAATTTTATCACTAATAATAATTTGTAACGAAAAATAAAGATTTAATAATCAATAATTTAGTCACTAAATATGAATTTTTTGGTAGTGTCTGAATGGGTAAATACTCTTAAGAAAACCGCCAATCCTAAGTCTCGAACTCTAGGCCAAAAAGCATTTCTTGGATTAATAATAATAATATTAAAACCAAGCTGCCTAACCCTCCCTTTCTCGCCCAAATACTCTTGCTCCTTCCCTGCTTTCTTTCCTCCTAAGCCATCACCTCTCTCCCTTTCAATGGTTAGGGAGGATGAATAAAAATAGGAGTTTCTCTCTCTTTCATGAAAGTTCTTTTGTCTCCCCTTTTTGAGGGTCATTTTGCTTGGGTTCTCTCAATGTTTTTTTTATCGAGTTTTACCTCAATTTTAAGAGGATGGCAGTGTGGTGTGTGGTGAGACTAGTTAGGCTCGGACTGGTTGTAGCACTTATTTTGACTATTGGTGGCATGGTTGAGAGCCTTACAAAGACTCAAACTCTCTTTTGGACTAATTCAGGCATGGGTTCAATGATTAATGAAGGAGATTCCAACTCCCCTCTAGACTTGTGCATCTTCTTCTTGATATGGCATTTAGTGGGCACTACTAGAATTAGGGGCTTTTTTGGTCAAGGTGCTTGACCGAAAAAGTATGTTTTATGACCAAATACACAACACTTCGGTCAAGCTCATTGATCGAATTGTTGGCCCGAATAACTTCTGTACGAAATAGTATTTCGGAGAAAATTTTATCTTAACCGAAATATATCATTAATTCGGTTAATATAACTAACCGAAAAAGTGATTGAAAAACTCATTAAATAAGTATTATATTCAGACAAATAATTTGATCGAACTAATCAATAATATTTTAATTAAACATTTCGGTCAAGGATCTTGGCCGAAATAGATATGCAGATTAAAAAAAATTATTTAATGAATGATTTGTAGAGGAAAATTCAAAATGATGACAGAAAATTTTCAATGTATTTCGGTCAAGTAGATTGATCGAAATAGATGTCCAGATTTGAAACAAAAAATCAAATTATTTAATAAATTGTAATATACATAATAAACTGTAATATACATAATAAATATTATAAAAAGACTTAGTACTACAAAAATTCGATGTTAATATTATGAATTATATACAATTGTTATTTATTTAATTTTTTGACCTTTTATGGTCTTTTAATTATGAGTATAATTATTTATTAGTAAATATGATTAAATTTGCATATATGGAGGAAAATAAAAATAAATAAAAAATACTTGACATTTGAAAAAAGAATCCTACAAAAATAGAATATAGAATCACAAATGAAATCATATTAATAAAAGCATGCAAAATAAATCAAAAAATAAGTATATGAGTATAAATAAGGTAATGAAGTTAATTACCTCCATAATGCTGCCCCATTCATCACCAAATTAAGGAACCTTTAGACATAAAAACTAAAGAACATTAGTACAAACATTAGTAAAGAACATATATATAAGATAGCAAAAAGTATAGAAACATTTACATATGCAAATAGTTAAAGAACATGGAGGTAAAAGAGAAATGGTAAAAAAAGGAATTAGTAATATTAGTTTAGGAGAAAAAAAACTAAAGAATGTGAATTAAACTTGAAGAAAAAAAACTAAAGATGAGGATTGATCAACAAATAGTATAAAAAGAAAGATGAACAAATTGTGTCATTAGTGTTGAAGTTGAAGAAGAAGAGAAGAAAGAAACAAAAGAGAAGATTGAGAATTAATGAAAAGAGTGAGTCATAATATATATAAATGGTCATGACTATTTCGGATAGTCATACTAACCAAAATAAAAGGGCAAAAATTTTAAACACTTTTCGACAAATAATTTAGAAGGCAGAGCGGGAAGATGAAATTAGTTCAGTCATACATTTTGACCGAATTGTATGCAGAGGGAAATTCAAAATTTTTGCCAAATTTTCTAGCAAAGATCAAGGAGCTTTTTTCTTTTTCTTTTTTTTTTTTTTAAGCTTATTTCGGTCAAGCATTTTGACCAAAGTAATATGCATAAGG